ATTTTTTAAACATTTTTTTACATTTTTTTTTTTTTTTTTTTTATATTTGTTTTTTACATACTGTCTCCCTAGCACTATAGTCACCATGGTGATTTATTTATTTATTTATTTTTTTACACACCGATTGCTTTTACACCCATAAAGACTGAAAGAGCAATAATTTCTCCTTCTCTCTGTGTGCATTCCTGCAACCATTGAGAAATATTGTGTGAGCTGTAATTGGTCACAGCTTGTCACATGGTACAAGGCTGTTGTGAATAGCCCTGTACCATGTGATCTCTGTGATCATTCACAGATTTCACACGTAGTAAGCAATGATGTCAGAAGTGACACCTTGCTTACTACTCTGCATGTGATCACTGATTGGCCAATCAGTGATCACATGATCGGGATCTCGCACAGGGGGTCCCGTACAACAATCAGTGTTCCACTGTGTCCAGAGGACACAGCGGGCACCGGATCGTGGTGCTGCACGCTCCCAGGGAGTGCGCACAAGCAGGGTGCGGGGAGGCCGTTTATAAACAGCCACCTGACCCTGCACTGCCACCGTCCGGCTGTTTATATACAGTGGCCAGACGGGAAAGTGGTTAACACGACAGGGTGGGTGAAACTATTAGGGAAAAACAAACAGATAAGAATATATAATCGATGTATGAAATATACAAACTCAATGCAATGATAGGGCTGTAGCTGAAAACAAGTCCATGCTCACCAGCGATGCTGCCTGCAGGAAATCTGAGTTTAGTTCACAGAATGTGCCGCAGAGAATTACGGCTAGTTCCTTTCTCTCAGTTCTTAAAATGAGAGTCTGAGCTCCATTGCCAGACCAATGAGAATGAGCAGTGCGACTTGCGCATGTGCAGTGGGCACCCGGCTTTTCACCCTTCCCTTTCCAGAATGAAGGATGATGGGAGCTTTCATTAAAGCGGAGTTCCGGTCAGTTTTGTTTTGTTTTTTTTTTTTTGTTAGAAGTCAGCAGCTGCAAAAACTGTAGCTGCTGACTTAATAAACACACACTCCCCTGTCCTGGGATCCAGGGATGTGCTCACCCGTGCCGTCTCTTCTCTCTGCTGCACCAGCATCACAACTGTGGTCACCAGACTGTGACAGCTTGCGGCTTCACAGCCGGGTGCCCACTGCGCATGCCCGAGTCGCACTGCTTATTCTCATTGGTCCGGCAGTCTTCTGGGACCTTAGCTGGAAGTGGGAGCGGGTACCTGTCAAAAGGCAGATATCCTCAACCCCCCCATCTCTTTTCTCTGCTGCACCAGCATCACAACTGTGGGCACCAGGCTGTGACAGCTTGCGGCTTCACAGCTGGGTGCCCACTGCGCATGTGCGAGTCGCACTGCTCATTCTGATTGGTCCGGCAGTCTTCTGGGACCTGTGAAGGTTCCCAGGAAGACTGCGGGAGGAAAGGGGGGGGAGGGGGGCCAAACTTCCGGCTCACTTAGCTGGAGGTGGAAGCGGGGACCTGTCAAAAGCCGGGTTCTCACTGCGCATGCGCGAGTCGCACTGCTTTTTCTCATTGGTCCGGCAGGCTTCTGGGACCTGTGAAGGTTTCCAAGGAAAACTGCGTGAAGAAAGGGGGGCTGAACCTCCGGCTCACTTAGCCGGAAGTGGGAGCGGGCACCTATCAAGTTGGGTGCCCACTGCGCATGCGTGAGTCGCACTGCTCTTTCTCATTGGTCCGGCAGTCTTCAGGGACCTGTGAAGATTCCCGGGAAGACTGCGGGAGGAAAGAGGGGGGCTGAACTTCTGGCTCATGTAGCCGAAAGTAGGAGCAAGTACCTGTGAAAAAACGGGTACCTGCTCCCCCCCCTTAAAAGGTGCCAAATATGGCAGTGAAGGGGGGGGTAGGCAAACAAGCGGAGGCTTCCACTTTTGAACGGAGCTTTAACTAGATAGATTCCGGGCTCCATCTAGTGACCAAATGTTAATATTGCAGACTGAAGTTCCATGCTGGGGGCCAGACAAAAAATGAATTGCAAGGCTATAGATAGGGGGGGAGGGATAAACTAAAAGTATATAGAAAGAAGTTTAAATATACAGAAAAGAGGGTAATAAAAAGGGTGTGGGGCAGCGCCCCAAAAAAAGACCATCCAGGTTACAATTTCTCAAAGATGTTGTACCCCCTCAATGCTTTTTGCATTTTGTCCGTTTTTGCAATCAAATTTTTGACACGGTTTTTGATGTGTTTTTTTTTTTTTTTTTTTTTTTTTAATTTTTTTTTACTTTTGGCTAATTAGTTGCTAAGCAGATTACAAATGCAAAACACCTAAAAACGCAACACATGTGTTTTTGATATGTTTTCAATGCATTCTGGTGGTGAACATTGCATGTTAATAGCGCCTTCAGAAATCTATTTACTGAGAAAAATGGTGAAGTGTATTTGTTCTATATATACATAAAATTTGTGTGTAATATTAGTATGTACAGTGTGTGTGTGTGTGTGTGTGTGTGTGTGTGTGTATATATATATATATATATATATATATATATACATATATACATATATATATATATACACACACACAGTTGTGTCCAAAATAATAGCCGTCAGACATCACTAACCGGATCAATCACTGTTTTTGGTGGAAATGATATTTCTACATGGCAAATAATTTCCTAGCAGGTGTAGTAGAGTCATAGAAATCCAACAGACCCAACAGTCATGACATGCATGCTGCTGATTCTGTGTCATTGAATCACTCATTGAAAGGGCGTGTTCAATATAATAGCAGTGTGGAGTTCTATTAGTGAGGTCATTCATTCTTTGAAAAACAGGTGGCAATTATTGCCCTTATTTAAGGAAGGAAGGCAGCAAATGTTGGACATGCCGGTTACAGTGCATTTCTCTCTGAAATTCTGAGGAAAATGGGTCGTTCCAGACATTGTTCAGAAGAACAGCGTACCGCGATTAAAAAGTTGATTGGAGAGGGGAAAACATATAAAGAAGTGCAGAAAATGATCGACTGCTCAACTAAAATGATGGCAAATGCTTTAAAATGGCAACCAAAACCTGAAAGATGAGGAAGAAAGCGAAAAACTACCATTGGAATGGATAGAAGAATAGCCAAAATGGTGTGGACTCAGCCAACAATCAGCTCCAGGAAGATGAAAGAAGGTGTGACGTTCCCTGTGAGGACTGTTACAATTAGAAAGCGCCGATGTGAAGCCAAGCTATCTGCAAGAAGTCCCCGCAAAGTCCCACTGTTGGAAAAAGACATGTGCTGAAGAGGTTACAATCTGCCAAAGAGCACATTGACTGGCCTAAAGAGAAATGGCACAACATTTTGTGGGCTGATGAAAGTAAGATTGTTCTTTTTGGGTCTAGTGGGCGGAGACAGTTTGTCAGACGACCCCCAAACACTGAATTCAAGCCACAGTACACTGTGAAGACCGTGAAGCATGGTGGTGCAAGCATCATGATATGGGGATGTTTCCTCATACTACGGTGTTGGGCCTATTTATCGCATACCAGGGATCATGGATCAGTTTGAATCCATCAGAATACTTGAAGAGGTCATGCTGCCTTATGCTGAAGAGGAAATGCCCTTGAAATGGGTGTTCCAACAAGACAACGACCCCAAACACACCAGTAAACGTGCAACATCTTGGTTCCAGACCAACAAGATGGACGTTATGGAGTGGCCAGCCCAATCCCCGGATCTTCATCCAATAGAAAACTTGTGGGGTGACATCAAAAATGCCGTTTCTGAGGCAAAACCAAGAAATAGAGAAGAACTGTGGAATGTGGTCCAATCATCCTGGGCTGGAATACCTGATCACAGGGGCCAGAAGTTGGGGGACTCCATGCAACACAGATGTACAGCAGTTCTCAGAAACAGTGCGACTACAACCAAATATTCATGAAGTCATTCAAAGGAAAGCAAAATCTTCAAACATTTCTCAGTTTATATAGTGAATGTTTGAGTTTGTAAAGAAGAATACAAACACTGCGATTTTTTGAACCGTCTAATATTCACTTTTCTTCCATATTTTTAGAGGAACAACACAAATTTGATGTATTTTTCTTCATGTTGTGATTTGGAATAGAATGTGTCGTGTTCCCAATGTATTTGTGTGGATGGAAATAAAAGCTATTAGAAGGATTTTGAGCTTTATTCACTTTTTTCAACACACGGCTATTATTTTGAACACAACTGTATATATATCTGTAGTTTATTATTCTATCACAGAGGGGGAGCGGCAGCACTTTGGGCTGATCAGGTGTGCTGTTTTCATGTGCGCTCATAACGAATTAAATGACAGGTGGGGTATGTCGGAGTCTGATGCAGATGCCCAACACGCCATGTCCCCCAGGTCACCATCTTGAGCCAGGTCAAGGCCAATTCACACCATATGCGGTGATATCTTTCACCCCAGCGACACACAGGAGGCAATTGTTTCCCATGCGTCCCATTTACAATGCAGCGCAGCCTAGCATTGCGTTAAAATGCAGACATAGTGCATTTTATCGCAGTGTACGGCCCACATCGCAGTGCAGTGTCAGGCAGCGCATCATCATTCCCGACATTGCAGTGAATGAAGTGTACATTTGTACAGGTTAAATAAAGCTCATACAAAACAAACAATAAAAGGTAGCAGTGTGATGGGCTGAATCGTGCACCACACTGCCTCCTAGCTGCCACACAGAGCGATGCATAGGTCTGGCTGCAGTATACAAGATTCATAGTGTGAATTTGCCTTCATCAGGAAGTATTAGCAGCAGGGGCGGACTGACCATTTGGGAAACTCAGAGCACTGCCCGAGGGCCTGGGGTCAGTAGGGGGCCCCATGAGATGCCCCCTAGTACCTTTTTCATAGGCTTTTTTGAGTTTGGGCAAGAACACAGGGGCCCCATGATCCCCTATTGCCCAGGGACCCCATGAGTTGTCAGTCCGCCCCTGATTAGCAGTGTGGTTGGTTTTTACTTTTTTTATTTAAAATAGTTTTTGTTTTTTTTTTGTCTGACTTAAAATATTTTGTCTTTCTAGGCACAAAGATGCTAAATCACGTCTTAAACATTTGTGAAAAAGACGGCACCTTCGACAACATTTATCTGTAAGTTTCCTGAAATTGACGTGTATTCCTTTTGAGTGTTGTTTTTAACCCCCGGTTCACATCTCTGTGGCCGTGCGCACCGCGTTTTTTGCACGGGCACGAGGGCCCATTCATTTGAATGGACTCCCGTGCCCGGGACACGCAGGGAAGAAGTCCCGGCACTTCTTTTGAAAACGCAGCCGAGGTTCCCAGTACGGTTGCGTTTTCCAGTGCGGGTGGCGCGCCATTACAATTAATGGCACCCACCCGCGGGTCCGCAATTCTCTGTGCGGGTGGTGTGGCTGCACGGATTTCCTTGCGGATCCGCAGCGGCACCGCCCGCACAGATGTGAACCGGGGGTAATAGTTTGTGCCCAGAACTATTCTTTATGTCCCTGCATACAGTATGGCCCTGATACCCAACCTGCAGCCCCCTAACACCCTGAAAAACCCCATTAGTCATTCTTTACCTGGTGAGGTGCTTGCCCCAGGACAGTGAAGGGCAATATTAGGGATGTTTCGGCTGAAAACACCCCTTTCGGCCAATTAAAAACAGCACCGATACAGGTGCCGAAAAAAACGCCGATGCCGCCGCCATTCGGTAGTTCTCAGCCTTACCTGAGAAACCATTGATCCCGGCACTGGACATAAAGATGAGTGAAGGAAAGATGGCCGCCACTCATCTCTATGCCATTGGAGGACCGGTGTGATGTCACTTCCTGTTCCGGCCATTTTATTTATTTTTATTTTTTAAAGCACCAGATCAATGCTTTTTTTTTTTTTTTCTTTTTCTAATGCTTTACATTGCAGAGGAGAGAGAGAGAGATGTGAGGTCTTATTGACCCCATATCTCTCCATAAAGAGGACCTGTCACTGATTATTTCTATCACAAGGGATGCATGCAATTCTTGTGATAAGAATAAGTGTTTTTAAAGGGACAGTGCAGAAAAAAAATTAAAATTAAATAAACTAGTGCCCCCCCCCTCCCCCCGTGCTCGCACATAGTGGTGAACGCATACATAGGCCACACCCACGTGTGGAAATGGTGTTCAAACCACACTCGTGAGGTATCTCCACGAACGTCGGAGCGAGAGCAATAATTCTCACACTAGACCTCTGTAAGCATCACCCATGGAGATTTTTAAGTACCGCAGTTTCACGCCATTCCACAAGCGCGCACAATTTTAAAGCGTGACATGTTGGGTATCAATTTACTCGACGTAACATCCTCTTTCATATTTTAAAAAAAAAATATTGGGGTATATTTTTTTTTGTTTTGTTTTTTAATCAAAGTGTTTTTTTTTCCAAAAAATATATTCATTTTTAAAAACTGCACATTTCGTTTTTCAGCCAAGTGCATTTTGATTTTTCGTTTTCGGCACCAGAATTTTCATTTCGGTGCACCACTAGAAAATATTAAAACTTGTTTGTACTAGATTGTAAGCTCCCAGGATCAGGGCCCTCCTATCCCTTTTGTATTGATCTGTATTGTTGCTGTATTGTCTCCCGTTATATTGTAAAGCGCTGAGCAAAACTGTTGGCGCCATAAATCCTGTATATATAATATATAAATCCTGTATAATAATAATATATATAAATCCTGTATAATAATAATAATATATAAATCCTGTATAATAATAATAATATATAAATCCTGTATAATAATATTATATAAATCCTGTATAATAATAATATATAAATCCTGTATAATAATAATAATTATATAAATCCTGTATAATTAATAATATAAATATAATAATATATAAATCCTGTATAATAATAATAATATAAATCCTGTATAATAATAATATATAAATCCTGTATAATAATAATAATAATATAAATCCTGTATAATAAATAATATATAAATCCTGTATAATAATAATAATATAAATCCTGTATTATAATAATAATATATATAAATCCTGTATAATAATAATAATATAAATCCTGTATAATAATAATAATAATATAAATCCTGTATAATAATAATAATATAAATCCTGTATAATAATACTAGCTAGATGACTTTTTTTCTTCTTCTTCCTATGTCTTCCTTTTTTTTGCTTTGTTGTCCTTTGTTTTTTTTTTTTTTTTTTTAACTTGTTTGTTTATTTACTCTAGCCTTTTATAATGCATCTGGCAGTTCCTCCATTATTTTTGAAGATGGCTATAGGGAGCCCAGACTTTTAAAGGGTTTGAGCTGGCAGTGATCTCTACCAGTCTCTTGTAATCATTCAATGTATTTTTTTTTAACTGTATAATATTTCTGTGATGCAATGCAGCACTTTTACCTAGAATGACATTCCGTGCCCAAATGCACCTGATTCTGCACGTGTGCTGTAGGGTTTCGGGTCCTGGCAGAGCCTTGCAGCACATCTACACGTGTGGATTTTCTGCACATGCGCAAAGACAGAGTGTATAAAATTCCTATACCTCGCCATGTGTGCTCATGAGCGGACCTGCACCACCAAACCTCACCCCCCCCCGCTCAGATATGCCATAGGGCTCTGGTGGGATCCAAAGTCTTGGCAGAGCCCTTTGGAACATCTGCACATGCTTCACGTAACAAGGATGGTGCCACTGGAGGAGCCAAAGCTAGAGTGGTCTAAAGTTTGGCCCTTGCGGATCAGAAAGGTCCAGGTCGCTGGACTTCAAGCAGTTATGCCAGGATGATGCAGCTGCAGACATCAATTCCAGTACCTTTTTTTTTTTTTTTTTTTTTTTTTTTTTTTAACCACCTCCCATCTGGCCCATGTATATAAACGGCCGGACGGTGGCAGTGCAGGGTCAGGTGGATGTTCATAAACTGCCTCCCCGCACCCTGCTTGTACACGCTCCCTGGGAGCACGCAACATCGAGATCCTGTGCCCACACAGTGGAACATCGATCGTCATACGGGACCTCTGTGCGAGGTCCCGATCATGTGAACACTGATTGGCCAATCAGTGATCACATGCAGAGTAGTAAGCAAGATATCACTTCTGACATCATTTCTTACTACGTGTGAATTCTGTGAATGATCACAGAGGTCACATGGTACAGGGCTATTCACAACAGCCTTGTACCATGTAACAAGCTGTGACCAATCACAGCTCACACAGTACTTCTCAATGAGTGCAAGAATGCAGCCAGAGAGGAGGAGAAATGATTGCTTTTACATTCTTTATGGGTGTAAAAGCAATCGGTGTAAAAAAAAAAAAAATAAAAAAATTTCATCATCCCCCATAGGTATTACAGTATCACCATGGTGACACTGTACTGCTAGGGTGACGGCATGTAACAAAAAAAAAAAAATCTAAAAAATAAAATAAAAATGTAAAAAAAATGTTTAAAAATTATAATTTTTGGTTATAAACTAGTTTAAGTTATTATTATTTTTTTTTTTTTTTTTTTTACTAAAAAGATAACGGAATACATTTTGGCCAAGATTTATGATGAAATATTATTTATTTGAAAAATTTTATAAGAAAAACACTTTTTTTAAAAATGTTTGGACATTTTCATTTACATAGCAAAAAATAATAAAAATCCCAGTGGTGAATAAATACCACCAAAATAAAGCTTTATCCGTCTCAAAAAAATGCTAAAAAAATTCATATGGGTACAGTGTTGCATGACCCGCGCATTGTCATTCAAAGTGTGATAGCGCTGAAAGCTAAAAATTGGCCTGAACAGGAAGGGGGGTGGAAGTGTCCGGGGTGGAAGGGGGGGGAAGTGTCCGGGGTGGGTCCGGGGTGGAAAGTGTGGAGATGTCCGGGTGGAAGGGGGTGGAGGTGTCCGGGGTGGGGTGGTCCGGGGGTGGGGGGTGGAAGTGTCGGGGGTGGAAGGGGGTGGAGGTGTCCGGGGGTGGAGGTGTCCGGGGGTGGAAGGGGGTGGAAGTGTCGGGGGTGGAAGTGTCGGGGGTGGAAGGGGGTGGAGTGTCCGGGGGTGGAGAAGTGTCGGGGGTGGAAGTGTCGGGGTGGAAGGGGGTGGAAGTGTCGGGGGTGGAAGGGGTGGAAGTGTCGGGGGTGGAAGGGGGTGGGGGGTGGTAGTGTCGGGGGTGGAAGGGGGTGGAAGTGTCGGGGGTGGAAGGGGGTGGAAGTGTCGGGGGTGGAAGGGGGTGGAAGTGTCGGGGTGGAAGGGGGTGGAAGTGTCCGCACTGGAAGGGGTTAAGAGCCAGTGGTCGGCTCTTTTGTAAAAGCAATTCCGATTGGGATTCGAACCGACAACCCCAGTGCTGCCAGGCAGAAGTGCTAACCACTGTCCCTTCTTCTTCCTTGCAGACACGTCCAGATCAGCAACGAGTCAGCCATAGATTTCTACAGGAAATTTGGCTTTGAAATCATCGAAACAAAGAAGAACTATTACAAGAGGATAGAGCCGGCCGACGCACACGTCCTGCAGAAAAACCTCAAAATCTCCACCACCGCCTCGCAGAACGCAGACGTGCAAAAAAGCGAAAATTAAAGCAAATTACGAACGAACCCTTTTTTTCTTGCACTTGCTTGTCGCCAAATATGGAAAGAGACCCGTTTGAGTTTTGCTCCGACCGTTCACTTCTAATATCTCTTCTTCCTCTCCACTTGAAAGGAAAAAAAAAAATTAAAAGGTTAAAAAAAAAGTTGAATGCTTCTTCAGAGAGCTGTACAATCTATCACATATTATATATTGTTTGATCGAACTCTAACGTGTTTTCATGGAGACTCGCAGGGAGTGACGGATGTTCTTTCTGGCTTTTCGACTTCTTTGCCCCCGTTTGTTTGGGAGAGTGCGTGGTTCTATCAGTCTGGAATAGTCTTTAAATAAAATCTAATTTCTTTTTAGCATTCTTTTTCTAACCTCATTGCTGTTTATTTCACAGATGTGCAATGTTCTTTTTTTTTTTTTTTTTCCACAATAGTGAGCAATGAACGAGAGTCATTTCACCTGAATCTGCTATGCTGGTGAGTTATAGTGGTTGTAAATCTCAGACGTGAAGTATGAACAAAGCATATCCCTCTATAGTGTGTACTTATCTCAATCCAGAGCGCTAAGTGTCATTTCTGTCTGATGCCTTCTTCCTCTGCTATCAGCATGAGTCAATTCTAACACGAAGAGTTTAAAAGATGACAAGGGAGGGATCTCCAGCACACAACCTATGATTGCCAGCCTCAGCTCTGTTCCTGTGTGGAGGGGGGGGTAGGTGTCCTTTCCCCTTTCCTTTCCCCTTTCCTTTCCTTTCCCCCCTTTCCTTTCCCCCTTCCTTTTTCTTTCCCCCTTCCTTTTTCTTTCCCCCTTCCTTTTCCTTTCCCCCTTCCTTTTCCTTTCCCCCTTCCTTTTCCTTTCCCCTTCCTTTTCCTTTTTCCTTTCCTTTTCCCCCTTTCCTTTCCCCTTTCCTTTTTCCTTTCCCCTTTCCTTTTTCCTTTCCCCCCTTTCTTTCCCCCTTTCCTTTCCCTTCTTTTCCTTTTCCTTTTCCTTTCCCCCTTTTCCTTTTCCTTTCCTTTCCCCCTTCCTTTTTCCTTTCCTTTCCCCCTTTCCACTGTTCTTTTCCCCTTTCCTTTCCCCCTTTGTTTTTCCCCCTTTCCTTTCCCCCTTCCTTTTCCTTTTCCCCCTTCCTTTTTTCCTTTTCCTTTCCCCTTCCTTTTCCTTTTCCTTTCCCCCTTCCTTTTCCTTTTCCTTTCCTTTCCCATTTCCTTTCCTTTCACACCTCCCTTTCCTTTTTCCTTTCCCCCTTCCTTTCCTTTTTCCTTTTCCCCTTCCTTTCCTTTTTCCTTTCCCCTTTCCTTTCCCATTTCCTTTCCTTTTCCCCCTTTTCCTTTTCCTTTTTTCCTTTTCCTTTCCTTTCCCCCCCTCCCTTTCCTTTTTCCTTTCCCCCCCTTTCCTTTCCCCCTTTTTCCTTTTCCCCTTTTCCTTTCCTTTTTCCTTTCCCCCCCTCCCTTTCCTTTCCCCTTTCCCCCCCTTTCCCCTTTTTCCTTTCCCCTTTCCTTTCCCTTTCCTTTCCTTTCCCCCCCTCCCTTTCCTTTTTCCTTTCCCCCCTCCCTTTCCTTTTTCCTTTCCCCCCTCCCTTTCCTTTTTCTCCTCACTAAGCTCTGCAGTGTGTATTTTTAGCTCTCCGCCCCCTGTTTTCTGAACTCTCAGACAAGCTCTGACGTTGAACGGATGTAGAGAAGAGAATACTGCAGCTAACAGGTACAACTTATGTAGGAGGATTTGTTTCATCTTTGTGTATCACAAGAGACCAGTTAGTGCTCTGGATATATGAAAGGGTTTACTGCCACTTTAAAGCGACCCTGAACCTGTGACCTGGATTTGCTAACTATACAGTGGGGGAAAATCATTATTTGATCCCCTACAAATTTAGTACGTTTGCCCACTTACAAAGAAATGAAGGGTCTATCATTTTTATCATTGGTGTATTTTAACCCCTCGGCCTACCGGGCACTTTCACCCCCTTCCTGTCCAGGGCAAGTTTCAGCTTTCAGCGTGTCACACCTTGAATGACAATTGCGCGGTCATGCAACACTGTACACATATAACATTTTTAGTATTTTTTCACACAAAAAGAGCTTTCTTTTGGTGGTATTTAATCACCGCTGCGTGTTTTATTTTTTGCACTATAAACAAAAAGAGCAAAACATTTGAAAAAAAGTTTTTCTTTGTTTCTATTGTAAAATTTTGCAAACAGGTAATTTTTCTCCTTCACTGATGTGCATTGATGAGGCTGCTCTGATAGGCACTGATGAGTTGGCATGGATAGGCTGCACTGGTGGGCATTGATGAGGAGGCACTGATATCAGCAATAATGGTCACGGATAGGCGGCACTGACGGGCGGTGCTGACTGACAGCACTGCAGGGCACTGATCATCAGTGCTGAAATGCTCTGTGACAGTTGCTGGTTACTGGCAGTACGTTCGCTGTGACAGTGGAGGAAACTGCTGCCGATAACCGGCAACTGTATTTACTTCGTGATCTGCTGTGTCATTGGACACAGCTGACCACTTGGAAAAAGGCCGCTGTGATTGGCCTTTTACCTCATCGCGTGATCAGCTGTGTCTGTAGGACAACAGCGACCATTGAGATCTGCAGGTGTGTACGCCTTGGGATGCACGGGTGGGCACGTTTTGGGAGGACGTCCTCCGAGAACTGGACAACCGTACTGTAGCCATCATTCGGCTATAGCGTGGTTAGCAAGTGGTTAAATGATAGAGACAGAATATCAACCAAACATAAAGAAAAAAAAAAAAAAAAAAAAAAAAAAGATACAAATGTTATAAACTGAGTTGCAATTCAGTGAGAGAAATATTTGATCCCCTACCAACCAACAATAGTTCTGGCTCCCACAGGCTGGCTATGTGCTTATGTGCAGATTAGTCCCGTCAATTGAAGAAGGTTCTCCTAACAAAAACTCGTTATGTGTATAAAAGACACCTGTCCACAGAATCTCATTCTTCCAATCAAACCAGACCAACCAGGGTCAAGACCAAAGAGGTGTCAAAATACATCAGGGACAAAGATTTCAGACCTGCACAAGGCTGGAAATGGGCTACAAGACCATCAGCAAGAAGCTTGGTGAGGAGACAACTGTTGGAGCGATTATTCGCAAATGGAAGAAATACAAAATAACCACCGATCGCCCTCTGTCTGGAGCTCCATGCAAGATTTTTGCCGCATTGGGGTAAGGATGATCGTTAGAAAAGTGAGGAATCAGCCCAGAATTACACAGGAGGAGCTTGTGAACGATCTCCAGGCAGTTGGGATCGCAGTCACCAAACAAACCATTGGTAACACAATAGGCCGCCATGGATTGAAATCCTGCAGTGCCTACAAGGTCCCCCCTCCTCAAGAAGGCACATGTCCAGGTCCGTCTGAAGTTTGCCAATGAAAATCTAAATGATTCAGAGAAGGATGGGAGAAAGTGTTGTGGTCAGGTGAGACCAAAATTGAGCTCTTTGGCATTAACTCGACTCGCCGTGTTTGGAGGAAGAAAAATGCTGACTATGACCCCAAGAACACACCATCCCTACAGTCAAACACGGAGGTGGAAACATTCTGCTTTGAGGCTATTTCTCTGCTAAATGTACAGTACGACTTTGCCGCTTTGAGGGGCCAAAGGACGGAGCCATGTATTGTAAAATCTTGAACGAGAACCTTCTTCCCTCAGCCAGAACACTGAAGATGGGTCGTAGATGGGTCCTTCCAGCATGACAATGACCCAAAACCTTCTTCCCTCAGCCAGAACACACTGAAGATGGGTCGTAGATGGGTCTTCCAGCATGACAATGACTCCAAAACCTTCTTCCCTCACCAGAACACTGAAGATGGGTCGTAGATGGGTCTTCCAGCATGACAATGACCCAAAACCTTCTTTCCCTCAGCCAGAACACTGAAGATGGGTCGTAGATGGGTCTTCCAGCATGACAATGACCCAAAACCTTCTTCCCTCAGCCAGAACACTGAAGAATGGGTCGTAGATGGTCTTCCAGCATGACAATGACCCAAAACCTTCTTCCCTCAGCCCAGAACACTGAAGATGGGTCGTAGATGGGTCTTCCAGCATGACAATGACACACGGCCAAGGCAACAAAGGAGCGGCTCAAGAAGAAGCACATTAAGGTCATGAAGTGGCCTAGCCAGTCCTACAGACCTTAATCCTAAAGAAAATTTATGGAGGGAGCTGAAACTCCAAGAAACCCTTAAGGATTTATAGAAGATCTGTAGAGTGGACCAAAATCCCTCCTGAGATGTGTGCAAACCAGGGGGCCAACTACAAGGAACGTACTGACCTCTGTGGTTGCCAACAAGGTGGTTCCTCCACCAAATACTAAGTCATGTTTTGCTCGGGGATCAATACTTATTTTACTAACGGAACTGCAACTCAAAACAAATTAAAACATTTGTGTCATCGTTTATTTTTTTTTAATTTTTCCTCCTGGATTTTTGGTTGATATTCTGCAGAGGATGTCCCAATGTGTAACGCCTGAACAAAACGCCCAGGACAACAAACTAGTTTCTGGGTGCCAAGCATGTTGTTTTTTTTTTTTTTTTTTTTTTTTGTTTTTTTTTTTTAAACAAAACACCCTTAGCCCTGTGCTGCGGGCAAGATAGCAGTGCTCACCTGTCAGGTGGAAGCATTCACGGGCGGAACCAGCGCTGCCACTTGATTGCTTCCACACACAAACCCCCGACTAAAAAAAAAAAGAGCCAGCCTCATCCCCCCTGGTCCCCGCTGCCAAACCGCTTAGAGTCGCCACCCCGGGCCAAACCACTTGCCCATCAGCGCTGCAGCTGGGTAACATAAAGAAGTATGGTGGCTGCCGGAAATATAAAAGTATAAATGGAGGGAGGAGAATGGGGCGTTCATATTCCGCTCCCCTGTTCTGACTCCGCGTGAAGTGATAGCTAAAACGTCACTTCCGGTCCACCACCGTTGACAAATGCCGGGAAAGTAATGTAATGCAAATGCGATGTGTGCAATTGCATTACATTC